AAAAGTCTAATGGTATGTTGATGTTCCAGGTGTTACAAGTGATAAAAAATAACATTTAAGGAATACGCCCTAATAAAAAGTGACATGTGTAACAGTGTCAGAATTAAAGTGCATCATTTATGATTATTAAGTATTGTGTGAAGAGTACCTCAGATTACTTATTTAGAACTGATTAACCATTTCACATCAGATCATTTAATGTGAAGGTACAATAAGAAGGATATGAACAGAACAATACAAAGTAACACGATTTTTAATTCTAGGAGGTGCTGCACAGATATAATGATTTGTAACTCTTCGATTTTTCCTGAAATCTTCCTCAACAGCAGTGTTAGGGATTTATGCTGTTTCTTTGCCCTAGGTCTTGACAGATCCATTATTGCTCCTTACATCCGTCATAAAAACTTTTATTCCATTTGCTCATAGCCATTTGTTTTTAACAGTGATTACCATAAAATAAGCATCGATCGGTCATCCTAAAAAGTCTATTTTATTCTCACTTTCTGCCACTAATTATTGTAGTACTTTGCATTGAATCTGTTTTGCACACATCTTGACTTTAAATGCTCTCATGAAAATTGATTTTATGCACTCTGCGAATCCTCTTTCCTTTATTTCTAACGCTAAAGTGCGGTGCTAATGTAACATTTCTGATGTTAATCAGGCACTTCTGCTTTTTATATGGGAAATCCTTATACAAAAAGATAAAATGTTCAACTGGTTTCCTTACGTTGCGAGCTCTGTTTGTATCTTTGTGTGAGTGGCACATGGATACTTTAAAACTGACACTTGCTTAGGTTGGTACAAGTTGCATCAAATATTTAAATTTTTGCTCTAAGTTCCAAATTAACTGTGCTACGTCAAAAAATGGAAAAGATGACTGGTTGTTCATATGCAACATATAAAGTAAATTAAAATAATGCAAGATCACAAGGAAAGAAATGATTTTTTTTTTAAAATTTCCATTATAAGCGTACTAAAATAAATTTTTATTCAGAAATAGTAAAACAGTGAGGCGTGTTTTCAATGTTTTTGGGGCCTGTAATCTCATCTCTAAGCAAAGCTCAATTTTTAGAAGCTGCAAAACATTTTACAACAATTAAGCATAGAATTAAAAGAGCATTTTCACTCGTAGTTAAAGTTTTGAGTTGTGAAACTCACATTTGAAATATGCATCTAGTTGTATTCTGGCGAACTCTGCAGAAAGATTAAGGTCAGAATTATGTACACAAAAACGGAAAGAAGGATTTTATTTAGTTTGTTTCCACCCTGAAATAAAAATGTGATGCCCTAGACGGCTTTTGATCTGTCAGATAGATTTTCATATTACAGTATTGTTCCCTTTGGCATTACGTAGCTACTGAATGTTAGTTTGAATTCCTATGTTGAAGAGTTTTTTTTTCTTTCGTTCTCAAAACCTTATTATGTCAAATATTTAACTAGAAAATAATTTTTGAATAAAAAATTTATTGATGAGCAATTTCGAAAATGATGTTGGCAGGGCACAATGATGAGGTTTTCTTAATAAACTCTAACAAAGTTTATTGTTAGCCAATTCTTTTCTATTTAATACATAATTATTTTGTGTTACTTTTAAAAAAAAATTATTATTGCTGTGAATAAAATTATGTTGACTTATTGTCAACTATCATTCCATACATATTTATTAGAACTTATTCTTATGTTTCATGACCTCTACTTATTAGAACATAATTGTTTCTGAAGTTATCTCGAAATTTTCTTTGAGTCCCTTCAACTTTAAGATATCCAGAATATACTGTTTTATTTATTTAATGAAAATCGTCAATCTTATTAAGGGATCAGACAAATATTTTACTTTCATTAAGTGAATCAAATTATTTGTATATTGTAGAGTCCCCTCTTTTTATTTTATATTCCAAGTTTTCTTGATTTGAGAAGCAGGGAAATTATTTTACTTTTTGCTTGTCATAAGCAAAGCATTTTTCCTTCTAAAAAGTTGAATATAGTTTATTATGCTCCTCATAGACTAGAATTCAAATATCTAGTTAATTGATTGATCATAGTTTGCAGATATAAGAGTGTCATTCTGTTAGAATTGATTAATACTTTTAAAAAAGTTTTTAAGGAGCTAAATAAATTAATGTTATTTTGAATAAATAACTTAATGTTAATAACAGTTATTTTGACTTTTAGTTTACTAAGTTAGTTTTTTTGTTCATGTATGTTATGTATGCATGATCTGTAGCAGCACATGAAATTTCAATTCTAAAGTTACTAGAGTGATAAAAATGTTCGTTCCGCTCTATTGGCATTAGCATGAAAAATTTTTGAAATGTTAACAGGTATAGTGATCAAAACCATAAAAGACATAAAATTTGAAACACATTTATTAAAAAATATCACCTCAAAATAAGGTTTCAATAGTTCTTATATAATCCATATATCATTTAACATCATTAAAATAAGAGAAATTACCATACCATTAGAGCTTATTTGTCAGTTAATAGCTCTAGGGTCAAATTCTCTTAGTGGTGGAGGGAGCTCCATAAGATTTGCTAAAGTTGTAACCTGATTTATAGTGTGTAAACGGAGACTTTCAACTCTGGGGAAAATATGGCATTTTGATTAGAAACAATTTACAAGACCGAGTTTATTTACCAGCCCTAAATATTCAGTCGGAAATGGCGAGTGAAAATTTTATGCCCTGATCTATAGGGTGATTATCTGTAACATGCAACCACAATAACATTAAACTAAACTAAACTCAGTGGCTCAACAGCCCATAGAGGGCCAGGGCCTACTGTGCCCAACTCAGTTTTCTTGACTCTGGGGTGCAGGAGCAGATGTTCCGGTCAGGTGTTCAGCCGAACACGGAACCCCCAGTGTTTAGTTCCCGAGCACGCTTGATACTCATTTATCGACCCAATGAAGGGATGAAAGGCTGAGTCAATCTTGCCCGGCCCGAGGATCGAACCCAGGACCTGTTTCACGGGAGCTCGAAGCGCTACAACTCTGGCACCGGGCATCACATTAGCATTAAAGAAAAGGAAAAAACTCTGTTTTTGAAAGATAAAACTATGCCTGTAATATCATTGTTTAAAAAGTAAATGCTGAGTGTCTGTATTAAATATTTCAGAATTTATAACAGGGGAAGTGTGCATCCTGGCAACTCGAAATTGTATGGTAATGCAGAATCGGAAATGCTTTCCTAATCGGTGGTGTACAAAGAAATGTTATAAAGAAAAAGAAAGAACGTGTCTTTTTATAATAAATTTACTAAATTTTTTAATCAATTTAAGAAAAGGAACATAGATCAAAGAAGTGTTTGAAATTTCTCATGACTATAATGCAGATCTTGCATCTATCACAGCATGGAATTCTGAAATGATCAAGGTCAAGAGTTTTCACTCAATACTATCTACCGCTTTTCTGACTCTGCACCACATTCCTTACCCCTCTTAGAAGTTTAACTAGGACACCCTGTAGATTTGGTGAATAATTTTCGCCAAATGTTTCTCTAAATTTTTCTAAAGGTCACTACAAAAATTACAATTATTGAAAGTTTCTGTCCTAATTAATACAAAATCTTATTAGCAACTTTTATGAACAAATTTTACATAATTTCTAACAATGAACAATTTTTTAAAAACTTTGTTGTGTTTTCCTATTAAAGTGAACTGTAATATTAAATACTTGATAGTTATAAAGTGGGGATTATTCACTAATTTCAGTGTGTCTTGTAGATCTTTTTCTTTCTGATAGAAGTGCTGATCCTATTAGATTTGTAATACATCTGTATTTAAAGTACACTGTAGCAAATAAAGTTTATTAATTATTTTACAAAATATTTTTAACAATTATCTTGAAACAAATAGTATTTAACTATATCACATTTGGAATTATTTTTTTACTTTGTAAGGGCTTAGAAAAAACAGCTCAATTTATTGTTTCCACACTCTTAGTGTTTAAATAAACTAATAATCAACTGTCACCATTAATTGTTGCAGATTTGTGGTCCATGCAAAAGAGGTGGGTTGGTGATTTGGCTGATCCTATTTCAGAAATTCTTTGAAATTTTATTACTTCTTTCTCAGTTCTTGTGGTTTGTCCTTGTCCAGATCAAAATTAAATTATGCAGTTTTAAATTATTTCTGGTATGGCACCTGTTCTGAGTATGCTGTTAGTGCAGTGTATGGTTATTCAGGATTTAACAAAGATATTAAACTTCCTTATTTTGCTTGTTACCTTAACGTTTCTTTTTAAAATTTATTTTTAAGAAGTAATACTTAATTTGTCTATTTGGCATTAAAAAAACTAAAATAACATGTTCGTATTATCGTTCGAAATATTATTTTCATATTTTTATCATATGTTTTTTACTCTAGCAGGGCTGATTGTGCTCTGGAAAAAATCCGGATTTCCGGAATTTTCGCTAACTGGTTAACTTCGCTTAACTCGCTAACTTCGATCTGGATGTTTCCGGAGACAGGTCCAGGCGTTTCAAAAAATCATTGATCACAAAGTTTCCGGAAATCAAATTTTCAAAGGTGGAACTTAAAAACACAGTTTATTTTATTCGTTTGTAAGGGAGAGCCAGAGAGATACTTTATAAGCTTATATTCATGATTAATATTCATTTTTTATCAGTAAATAGTTGTTATAATCATAAACTCAAGAAAGAAAGACATATTTCTAAATTTTAATTACCTACTTCTCCAGGTCATCATAGGTATGTGTAAAATTTTAAATATATTTTAAGTAAACTAAGAAATGTTGAGAAAAAGGGAATAAAAACTTGTTTAAATTTTTTTCTAATTTTTCAATTTAAACTGTTTTTTTTTTTTTTTAAACAAGACATTTTCTGGAATTTTGACATAGGCTCACAATCACCCCTGCTCTAGAAAAAGAAAGATCTATGTTCGTGAATTCTGTTTTTTGCTTCTAATCTTCCTATAAAGGGCTTCTTATTAAAACTTTGAATTGCATTATAAGTTTTTAAATGTGTCGTTTATTTCTAGATGTTTTGAATCCCCAGTCTTCCTTTCTTGTAAGATTACAGCCAAACACACCTACTCAAACGTAAGTATCTTGCTACCTTTATTTCTATATACTCTTCTAGTATAGTTTAATCCAGATACACCATATCAATTCAAATTAAATCATAAGTGAAAATATTGTTGTACTAAGGGAGATTTTTTTTCCCCTTTTATTTTTCATATTTATAAAATAAGCAAGTGGACATAAAAACATTTTAGAAACTGTTACTGACTTCTTTTCAATTTTTAAGAAATTAAATAAAAAATGTGGAGTTTAATGTTTACTATTTATTGCTCTTACTAAGTTATTACTTACTATCTTGCATATTTAATTCTATAAATTGCTATTTTGATAAGTAAAGTGCATGAAAATATGGATCAGAGAATAAATGAATGCTATTTTCGTAAGCAAAATTTTCGCAATCGTTATTCTCGAGTATTTTTAAAGTCAAAAGTAGTAATTGAAAAAAAAAGGTATTGCTTTAAATATTTTTTACTTATATAAAATTTTAAATTTTATTATGATTAAGTTAACTTTTTATTTGGGACTTAAAATATTAGTGAACCTTTCTTCTAAATTATCCACACAAAAAAAATAATAAATAAAAAAGCTAATTTAAATTTAAAAAAAAACTTTTTTTTTAATCTTGCATTCATCATAGCCTGGAATAATATTTAATTATTTTCTTTTTCTCTGAATTTTTTTAATAAGTTAGATTTTAAATAGTTTAATCTCCACATTCTCTATCATATTATCCAAGTAAGAATATTTAAGAAACGCATATATAATTTAAAAAAAGGGAACTCTATTAATTTTTTTCAATAGAACAAATATTTTTTAAAACATTATGTGTCTGAAAGATTTAGCATTACATGCTTCATTTTATTTTAGTGCAACTGTTGTAGTCCCAAGTAGTGCGAGTACATTGAATGTTATAGCATCTAATCCAACTATTCAATCTGTAAGTTTACAATTTTTATAACCATTTTTTTTTTACTCTACTTAATAATTTAAATACGTATTACAATATAAATATGATGCCTTAGGTAGCTCAAAATAACTCAATAATTTGTATAATATCACTATATCTAATATGTGCACGCTTGGAATAATAAATATTACAGACGTAGAATGTAATTGAAAACTTTTTAACAAGAGTTGAATTTATTATAGCCTTCAATAGTGTTTATCGAAACACTTTTGCTAAGGAAAATTAAAAGCCACATTTTAAGTGAAGCTATAAATTAACTCTATAATTAAAAGAAAAATTTCATTATTAGAAATTTTTTTTATTAGGAAAATTTTACTCCTGGCTTTACTTTTGAATAAATGCTGTTTATTTCTGAGATAAATCTGATACTAATTAGTTGTAATAACTCTTCAAAATATTATTTATATTTATAAATATTTCTTTAGCAAATATTACTTTTCTTAAGATTTATCTGATTCCAATTGCTTGTATTTCCATTATATTTGAGGCAAAAAATATTAGTAGATCTTTAATATGCTGTACACCACTTATACTTTTCACATCAATTATATTTTGAGGACTCTTGTTGACTAAATTATGACTTTGTTACATCTTTTGAAAATTATATATATATATATACTAGTCGAACCTGTTTATATCGAATCTCAAGGGAAAGGCAAAAAATGTGAGATAAAGAGGTTTCGAGTTATACATGTACTTTAAAAAATTACATTTAATTAAGAAATTCTATTAAAAGTGCTTTAATTGTTTTCAGTAGAAGAAAAAACAGGCATTTCTTTAAATTAATTATACCACATACATCTATTTACATAAAATTTTTTTAACATACATTTAAGACTGAAAATAATTTTTCAAAGATTTTTGACGTATAGCCTTATTTGTTTCGATTAATCTTGTAAGGTTAGAAAGAGTGCAAATCCGTCATAGCCAGCATTTTTCTGGAATTCAAGAATAGTTTATAAGAATTCTGCAACTTTTTCTACCCCTTTTGCATTCACTTTTGGTTCATTAATATGATCTTCGGCTTCTTCCTCTTCATCTGACATTCCTTTGACATTATCTATGATTTCCGCATCTGTCCACTTGTGAAAATCTTCAAAATCGATGTCAACATTAAATCCAGATTTTATTGCATTCCATTATGACAAATTTGGCACTGCATTTTCAGCGTCAACAGTTTCTTCTTCTTTACTGATGCCTTCAACCTCTTGTTCATCATCTTCAAAGCTATTCTTAAAACCAGCTTTATAAAACCATTTTGGATAGTTTTTAGAGACACATTTCTCCAGGCAAAACAGTAATTCTGATAGCATATATTTTTGGAAGAGAACTTTTTTCATTGATGGCATCTACAAGTTTGCGTACCAACGGTTCACTTTAAAACTCTTGATTATCCTTTGATCCATTGCTTGCAATTTTGAGGTGAAAATGAATTTCTATTCTTAGCTTTCTTTTCTATGTTGAAAAGCTAACCCCTGGTGATCACTACTCATTTACCCCTCACTTACTGCCAGAATCATTGTATTCCTTTCTAGTTAAAGAAGTGCATGGATAATGATTGAAAATCCAAGAAACACCCCCAACCTGTTCATCCCTACTTCCTGTGGGTTCACGAAATTCACCTCTGTCTGCAAGTTCTACTGATAAAGAAAGTTTTGACATTTGGACTCTATTATTAGAAATTCGAGAAACGGATGTTTTGAAGGGAAAAAAATTCGACATAAGCATGGGAAATACATTGATTTTAGACAGTAAATGTAGAGAATTTTCACAATTTTGAGATATAGAGGTTTTCGAGATAAAGAGGTTCGAGATAAGCAGGTTAAACTGTATATATATATATATATATTGACTTTGATTATTTTTAGGTATTCAGCACAGTTCCTAGAAATGCTCCACCTACATATGCTGCTCATATTCAAACTAAAAATGTATTTTTGACATCTCAACCTCCATCAACTGCTGCTAATCCGAATACCATCAACGTATGCACATTTTAATGCTTTAAATTCTTAAATTATTGTGTACACAAATGAGGTCTTTTAAAATTACTTACTCTCCAATTAAGTTTTCTATTTTTTTTAAATGATTGTTTTACAAAATAATGAAAATTGTTTTCAAACTGGAACTGTACATCTTTTTAACCCTTTACACTCCGAGTACTTTAAAATGCTGTTTGAACTAATGTAAGCACTAAATCAATTAAAATACATAATACAGTACTTTTACGTAATTTTTAAAATTCCTGCATGGTTACTTATTATTAAGATATAAAAATTTGTAGTTTTAAAGTGTTAACTTTTGATGTGGTATTAAAGGTGAAATTCGAATGCAAAGTGTTAAAAAAAAAAAAAAAAACAGTTTGTTAAATAACCAAATTTCTAGGTTTAATGACAGATCACAGTCTGTTATAAATAAAGAACATTAATTTAAGTGTGTAATGGTTGCTTTGTAAATTTTATGTTTCTGTATCTTCTACTTTCTAATTTTCTGACAATCACAAAGAAACTTTTTCTATTAAGCACATTTTACATTATTGAGTTTAATATGAAATTTTAAGCTTTTGATTCTGGAAAATAACTTTTCTTTGCTCTGCTCTACTATTATTCTTTTAGCAAAATATAATTTTTAGATTACTCTTGATTCAAAGAAACTTATTAATGCTTTGCATTTATTTATGTAATAGTTTTAAATTGTTAATTCAATTTATCCATAATTTTTTTGTGGCATATACATTTGCAAAACTTGAAATTATTTCTCTTACGCTAAGAATGAAATGTGTTTTAAAATATATAAGTTGTTGATTTAGGAAGCCACTGGTGAGATGCCTTTTAAGGAATTATTTACAAAGATTTATTTTTAAAGTTTTGAACTCTTAAAAGATTAGAATAAGTTTTGAACTTTCAAAAGATTATTGATTTACATCAAAATAATTTGTTTAGTTTTCTCTGAGATTTCTAATTAATTAAGGTACACATTTTAAGAGGTTATAGAAATATAATAATAAAAAAAAAGATAAAACATAGACATAGTGACATAGACAATAAAACATAGTATTGCAAAATCAAAAAGCAATCATTGGTTGGTCATTGCCAATAATTTTAGAAATATCACACGACTCTAGATGAAGAATGTAGCTTAGATTTAAAGGAATTTTTACATTATGTTAATCTAAGTCTTTTAATATCTTTTTTTAATCTTAGATAAAAGTTTTTAATGTGTTCAATATTTACCAAAAAATAACTCAAAGCGCATTTTTTTAAAGAAAAAAGCAGTATTTACAGTAAAAAACCACACATTTTAAATTTTATAAATTATTTTATTGGTTTATTTTAAATTTTGGTAGGTTATTAGCATTAAAATATTTAAATTAACATAATGTAAAAATTTCTATTAAACTTGAGATACACTCTAATTTACGTTTTTGCTTAATTCATTAACAAAAAGCCTATTTTATTGTATTCATATTCTCCTTGAACATGAATGTCCCAAGGAAATTTTATCAGGTAGGAAATGGAAATAATTATATAATTAAAAATTTATACCACATATAATTTTAAAATTATGAAAAACTTGTTACATTTATTTATTCTAAAGTGCTTTAAATCTATTTATTAATTGGTTTAATATTAATAATTTTTTTTTATTTTACAAAATTTGGTTTAAAATTTTAAAAATAAGAANTTAAATTTTGGTAGGTTATTAGCATTAAAATATTTAAATTAACATAATGTAAAAATTTCTATTAAACTTGAGATACACTCTAATTTACGTTTTTGCTTAATTCATTAACAAAAAGCCTATTTTATTGTATTCATATTCTCCTTGAACATGAATGTCCCAAGGAAATTTTATCAGGTAGGAAATGGAAATAATTTTATATTTAAAAATTTATACAACATATGATTTTAAAATTATGAAAAACTTATTACGTTTATTTAATATTTCTCCATCTAAAGTGCTTTAAATCTATTAATTAATTGGTTTAATATTAAGAATTTTTTTTTATTTTGCAAAATTTGGTTTAAAATTTTAAAAATGAGAAAATTGAGAAGAGAGAAAAAATTTTTCAAAAATTATGTTTTATTTAATTTTACAAAATAAGCTATCCTTGAATAAAACGGAAAAACACATGGAGCTTATTATTTTTTTCTATTTGAATGAAAATGTATTATTATAATTATAATATTTTTTTTAAATAGGGTGCAAATATGACAGCTTATCATATCATTTATTTATTAAACGAAAGGAAATAATTTAATTTATAAATTGAAAATTAAATTCCCTCCATGTCTGAAGATAAATAACAGCTTTTATAAAAATGTTAAGATTAAGGGATAAATTTCTGTAGTTGAATCAGAAATTCTGTACTTGAATCAGTTGAATCAGTTTAATAATTTTTAAATAAAAATTATTAAACATAAAAGCAAATATGCTCTAAAGTTGTTTTAAGTGGCAATTCTGGTGGATCAAAGCTTTTCTTTGATTGTTTTAGATCTGAGTGTTCATAAGTGTAAGTTAACTGTATGTGTGTCAAATCTTTCGTTTTTGATCGTGATGGAAATTTGCATTGCATGTGCATTTATTTAATTTTAGGTATTACGACAATATATAAATAATCAACCTGCATCCATCAATATTCCCAAAACTGAAACTTCATCTGTGGGAAATGCATCAAAAGTTGACCTACCTGATAGGTTTCCAGAATTGTGCAAAACTCTTCTTAGTTCTTCCGAAGAAACTTTAAGTGTATCAGAAACTTCTTCCGCTCCCAAAGCAGCTCCATCTCCAGTCCCTTTTAGCGGTCTCTTTGCATCAGAAGCGAAAAACAAAAAAGTGACCAGAAAGCTCAGTTCCTCTTCCTCAGACAGTTTGCCTTCATTGGATTCTTTTTTCAGTGTTGTGAACAGTAAATCTCAAGGATCATCAGCTCCTAGTTTGGATGAAAAAAGTTCAGATAATGATAGTGATGATGCTGATAAGAACAATGGTGCTAATAGCAGTAATGATGTTGCTACAACAAGTGCTCCTTCTGCTACTGCCTTAATTGATTCTGCTACTCTAAGTCAAACTTTTGAAGAGAGTTGTAGGACAGATCCTAATGATGATTACTGTGCTGTCTGTAAAGATGGTGGTACTATTGTTTGTTGTAGTAAATGTCCTAAAGTCTTTCACTTTGCCTGCCATATTCCACCAATAAGTAGTCAAGTTACCGAGTGAGTGTGACTCTAGTACTTTTAATTACTACTACTTTTGATTATTGTTTATTTATATATTATTATTTTTATGAACTGACATGATTCTGTTGATTCCTCATAATGTTTCTTATAGCTAACTATTTTCTTTCTTTAAACTCCTTCCCTAACATTTTTCTTAAAGTAACCTTTCTGCTCTTTTTTTCCTTCTTTTTTGGCTTTGCTGATGAGGGTTAAGAGAAAAATTAAAATTTAAATTAATTATTTTTGTTTTAATACATTTTGTTAATTATTTTATGATATTTATTTTATCGCAAGCTGTAATCATTTAATTTCTGTCCCTGACTCAATCATTAGGATTTGATCATCATATGATCAAAAATAGGTGGAAGATCAATTCTTTAACATGGGCCCATTTATGATATTTTGATGGATCCCCAAATTATTTTATTCAATGAAAAACATTACATTATTTTTAAAATAAAATAAAAAACTGTATGAAGACAATTATTTCAGACAATGACTAAAAATTTATGGCTGATATTTATATCAATGTGTGTTAATCTTATGCAATGTATTTGACATAAAGAGCAATATATTGCGACATATTGCAGTGCTTTGAAGACCAGCCGACATATTCAGTGTACTTACTTACCTCAAGTTTCAATGCAATGCTCAAATATAAACAATCATTTTTTATGAACTAACAAAAGCATTCTGGTTATTTTTTTCAATTTAGAATTTTTATCTTAAATAATAGAATATGACTGGAAGAATGCATTTGTGCATTAGATTTTGTATTTATTTACAGCTACTAATGGAAATTTAAGTTCCTTGCATAGAAATAATTTTGTTAATTTAATCCACATTGCTATCATATTTAAACAAAAGTGTTTGAAGTTCTATCACTACAAAATTACTTTGGCAAAACTTGGCTGTGTTTAAACTAATTTAAAAAATTCACTAATATCCTATACAAGTATTAGAAATGAGATTGGCTCAGGCTCTATAGTCCAAAGTAATTTTAATCTGAAGATTTTGAAAGAAATTCATTAAGTTCAGTTGCAGTTTTCAGTATTTCTTTAATATTATTATCTGTCCAACTATAAAATTGTTTATATTTGAAATATTTTTTTTTTCCTAAAGAAAATTGAATCATGTATTCTAAAGACTTTTTTCAGCTCAATTAATAATTTTACAGCTTGGACCTTCAAAAGTGGCTATGAATTTATAAACAAATAATTATGTATTAAATTTATTATTAAATTTATTAAATTTATTCAATACTCACTTCATTTAATTTTTAGTCTTACTTTCTTTTTTCTTAACTAATATTCTCAAAATTATTTTAAAAAGAGCTCTAAAAGGTGGCTTAATAGTTTTGGCAGGATAGAGCTCCAAACACTATTCTTAGAGGTAAATTTTACCTTTTTGGTTGTATTAAGAAGCAAAGCACTTGGCTTTTTGGCTTTATTACTGAATTGAGAAGTAATCTTAGAAAATGTTCTACTCAATGATAATTTATTTTTAGACTGTGGGCATTATTAATTTTTTTTTTATATGCATGAAGTTACGTAGTTGCAAAAAACAAATAATTTTTTTCCAAAGCTACAAACTATGATGTACAATCAACAAAATTAAATTTAAGACACTCTAAGGAATTTTTTTTGTGTATAAAATGAAATTTAATACTTTCCTATTCTTAATTTTAATCTTTGTTATTTGAATGGCTCGACTAAGACATACTGACTGAATAATGCAAATTAAACAACAAAATCAACACCTGAAATAGAAATTCTTAAAATAAACATAGGTTTTATAAAGGATCTTTCATAAAATAAATGGAGCTGCTACAATTGAAAGTTTGTGACTTTTAAAAGTTGGTTCAGTGGTTGTCAACAAACTATGTAAGTGTTCCATTGTAAGTGTTTTGTTCCTATTTAGGCAACTATTTTCATAGTTTAGGCTACTAAAAGCAACTATTGTTCATTTTTTTCTAAGGCAACTCTGGTATAAGGGATTTTGATGTAACTAACCTGCATTTGCTTTACATGGAGAGGAAAACTGCGAAAACGTCTCACGGTTAACCCGGTGGCAAGGATTAACTGTGAGACCCTTGATAGTTTAACCCATGATATATATCCCACTGAGTACCCCTATGCCCTAAATTGGGGCAGGTCGGGGTAAATCTTTCAATATCTCACACTGAGGATATTTGACATCAGTATTGTGGTCAGTGCGATTTGAGAGCAGAATTCATATCAACCAGCCATCGCTGGGATTTGAGCTTGGGCCAATCATTGGAAGCCAAAAGCTCTATCCACTTGGCCAATGGCAGCTTCCTCTATAAAATATTATCAATGTTAATAGAAATTTACAATTACCATTCTTGACTTCAGCCATTTAAAATGTGGAAAAGTACCACTAATCAAAAAAAGGGGGGGAGTGGAAACAACTAGGTTAATAAGCTAGACAAGCACAAAACTTAAAAATATAACAACAAAAAGTTATCTTCACTATCCTGTCAATGAAATCGCAAATCCCCTGATCAGTGCTGAATATAAATGCATAGTGAAGGAAAGTTCATTTTTCTGTTTCATGTAAGATTGGTAAATTAATAAGTAATCATATCTTAGATAACTCGCAAATTATTTTAGCTGTTTCATATTTTGTTTTTATCTGAACCTTAAGTAAAGAATCCATGTATTTTACGCTCTTTGTTAAAATTTATAATAGCCTTTCTGGAGGTGTTTCGAAAAGAAGAAGAAATAGTAGGAGACTTGTCTACAGGTATCCAAAAATGTTAAATTATTTTAAATGTTCTAGTAAGTTTTTCTAAACTGTGTTAATAAGCTGGAAAATAGTAGGTTTTAACAAATTTATCCTATTTAATTTTGCTAGAAATGCTGTTATTTCAAATGGCAATATATCAGATAGGTAATTTATCATTTTTGCGTCTTCAGTCCTAAAAATAATTATCAAAGTAATACATACAAACACTATTTTAAAGAAAGCAAAGTTAGAGTAGAAAGTGCATAATATTCTTCTGATTAAAATCTTAAAAAAGTTTCTACTGATTTATTATTGAGCTTTAAAAAGACCAATAGGTCTTTTATAATAAAAATTGTTTCAGTTTCTTATTTTAACAATGTCTCTAGAAATAACACTTAACTATACTAATCTTTCTACTATGAAAATAAAATGCAATTTTAATATGTAAAAGTATCTCTGAAATATACAGAAACAAAATATTTGTCTCAAAGCCATCCTAACGAATAATTGCAACTTTTTCTTATGCTTGCCGTCTTTCCTTACTCACTCTGATCTTCTTGCTTACTCACTCTCACGCTTATTGACCCATTTAATGTTTATTTCTGGTCCTGATACAATTTCCAATTTAGCTTGAAATGTGCGGAAAAAGCAGAAGAGCATGCACTACAATGCCATCTGAACTGTCGACATACTCTAATTAATATTCAGTTTAATAGTAACAAGCTGTATAGCTTAGCAGAATTTTGTGGCTAACACCAACTAGCACTACTGTAATTAAATAAATAATACCTGGAAACTGAAGTGGTAAGAATTACTTGATTAAGGTGCCCATTCTCAAGACTTGCCTGATGTGAATGAGAAGAAACAAAAGTGGTTTGAAATATAATATGTAAAATTGCTAATGAAAAATTAAAATATTTTTTTTTAAATTTTTCGTTGAAACATGTTGACATTTATTTCCTTCTGTATATTTTGTTAGCCATTGAATTTTTTCGATTCTTTCATATATATCCTGAATGTCATTACTGTATTTAGGATATATATGAAAATGAGAAGATAATTTGAAAATCAGAAGCTAACACTTGTAATTTTAGTGCAATATTTAAACCATGATTTGAGCCTTGAACAATTCATTAGTAGGGGTAAGAAACTTTAATAGAATTTAAAATTGTAAGGTATTGATCATATCGATCATTTCAAGAAGTAGGAATTTTTAGATCAATTGAATAGATGTAGTCTAATAGTCGGACATGACTATTGTCTAATGATTGTAATGTAGTTACTTCCTTTCGAGTGATATAGATTAAGAAATTATTTAAAATATATGATTCAAAGACTTCAAAACTAAACTTTTTCACCATTCATTTTTTAACTGATCTTTATTTAATGCAGCATAACAATGAGTTGGCTAAGAAACATATGATCATTATTTTGCATTTAACATATTTTTAGTACTAATAACTTTTTTTCTAACTGCTTTTTTAAAAAAGTGTCTTAGCTTTTTTATATTGCTGTATAAATAATTACACACTTTCGCAAATTAGTATAAAGCTAATGGGTTCTGCTTAATAAATGGGTTTAAAAAAGAGCTCTGCAAATCAAAAGAACAGGATCTAAAATAAAAATAATAATTATTTTAAGGGTTAAATGTTTGCTTTAATTTTTTTTAAGAGTTTTAAAATTTTGTACTGTGTATTAATATTTGTGTATGTGTGTTTTTTAAAAATGAGTCATAATGTAATTTTCTTTGCTTTTATTTTTCTTATTTATTTAAAGTGAGGAAGATTGGACTTGTGCACTTTGTAAAGATGCTTTAAGAGAGCCTCCACCTGAGGAAGGCAAGAGGCAAACTATGGGATTGAAAGGCAAAGAATTGCTAGTAAGTATATTAATTATTATTCTTATTATCATGTTTCTAACTTGCTTACTTGTGTAGAGGATGTGGAATCTTATGTTTGAAATTTCGCCTCATTTCAAGAGAACTCAAATCTCAACTGAAGCTCAGTTTCTGATGACAATATAAGTTTGAATAGTTTCCTGACTATTACAAATAGAACTTGTCATCAATCAAACTTTTAACCACTTTCAGAATGGTAAGTGCTCAAATTTCAACTGAAAATTTGTGTTAGATAAAATATTAGTTTCAAGCATTTCTTGACTACAATAAATAGAATATATTGTGCTGATATTGTCATAGTGATATTGCTTTTGTATTTGGTCATATTGTTCATTGTATTTGGTGATATTGTTATTATCAGTAAAAATTTCGACTTTTTTCCAACTTAGCTAAGGTTTTTAAATTTCAAGTGGATATCTGCGTCTGATGACAAGCTTGTTAAAATTGTTTCTTGATCATTGAAAGCTAACTGTATCATTATTTTCATTGCCGGATAGAGTTTATTGTTGGTTGAAATTTCAACTGGAACTCTGCGTCTGATAAAAATGCAAGTTAAAATTTTTTCCTCACCACTGCAGGAAGAATTTATCACCTGTCGAAAGTTTTACCAATTCTTGACCTAAACAATTTAACAGACCTGAAACTAAAAATGAAAACATAAAAAAGAGTTTTTAAAAAACTATGTTTTTCAAGTGGATTCAAATGTTGAAAAAAATTTCTTTCTTTCATGCAATGCAGGTGCACTTTTTTTAGTGGTCAGTTTATTGTCGTATTATAATCAATTTATCTTTTGCTTTTCAGATTTGTGAAAGAGTTCTTTTAGAAATATACTGTCATCCCAACAGCTTACCGTTTCATGAAAGAGTTTCTAAAAAGGTAATAAATTTTTTACATCAAAAGTGGCATTATTTTTTTTTTATCCTGCAAAATGGTTTTTTTAACAATGCACAGTCATTTTTGAAAGGAAAATGTAAAACTACAATAGTTTGAGTAAGAATAATAAATATGGCTTGTAAAAGATTTAATTAAGATATTAATTTGTGGAGCTTTCATTCTAGAAACTATAACAGTAGTAATTATAATATAAAATAATTTATATCGATTGTGTATGACTTCTAATTGTGATCATTCAAGAATTTTTTCCAAAGGAATGGTATGGTAATTACAGATGAACATCTAAGTCACAAGCTTTGATAACCCGATTTGTTTAATGTTAGAAAAGATATGAATCTCTTTTTCATATGGTATGATGCTAATAGAAAAAAAGAACTTTTCAAAAAAATTTTTTATACCTATGCATTTTTATCATTAACACTTTCCTAATTTTAGAAGTGATTTAAATGCATTTTTGAATTTCAATTAATAAAACTTTTCTTGAATGATCTTACTGCTTGTTCTGTCCATGTTTGAGTGGGGATTAATTGTTGGAGATTAAATTATTAATCCATGACAAATTTTTCATGCTGATTTATATACCTGTGGCTTTTAAAATTCTATTGAGTTCCTCAGTTAATCTTATTCCTCTTTCTCCTTACAGAGATGAGATTCTTCCGCGGATTCGCGGATTTCCGCTTTTTTTCAGATTTTTCCATTTTTCCCGCTAATTTCCGCTGAAATTTTTTTTGCCCAAGTTAAAATGTTTTATGAGGAATTTAATTTTCCGCGGAGGGAAATTGTTGAAGTCCCTTTTCCTCCCTCTGAAGTTTCTCTAAAAATCATTTCCTTGGGATGAAACTGGCTGACCTTTATACAGGGATGAGATTTTTTTTGTCTCTCGAATTTCAGCCTTTTTATCAAAAACTCCGATTCTCTAAAAGTTTCGTTTTTTTAAATAAATATCCCGTTTTTTTTNCCGGATTTCAATCCTTTATTCCGACAACGGCACAAATTTTGTGGGAGCCAACAGAGCATTGAAAGCATTAGATTGGGACAAAATAGCCGCATACTCAACCGCTCAGAGAATCACTTGGAAATTTATTCCACCTACCGCAGCATGGTGGGGTGGGTGGTGGGAGCGAATGGTCAGAATGCTCAAAGAACTGCTACGTCGAGTTCTAGGGAAATATACCATCGATTACGAAGAACTCTACACGATATTGTGTGACTGTGAGTCAGTAATAAATTCAAGGCCACTCACTTACATACAAGATAATCCAAATGAATTAGTACCGTTGACACCCGAAATGTTTATTCACGGTGGCGGTAACAGCGAAACACCAGATCTAGATAATGTAGACCGATCTTGCCTCATAAAACGAATAAAGTATTTACAGAAGCTACGTGAAAATCTCAGACAAAGATTCAGAAATGAATACCTTGCTCTTTTAGTCCACAAAGGGGTAAGAAGAAATAACGTTTTAGACGTTGGTGATGTTGTGTTAATAGGACATGACAATGTCCGTCGCATCGATTGGCCACTTGGAGTTATTTTAGAAATTTTTCCTGGTAAAGATGGTATTCCTAGAGTTGCAAAACTGAGGACCAGTAAGGGGGAAAGGATCCGTCCATTTCAAAGGCTTTACCCATTAGAAGTGTCTACCAAAACTGATATTGAGGTCTTAAAAGCTGCTAGAAGGACTGACGATTTTGTAGAAAACAATGAAGCTTTAGAGGTGAATTATTTTCCTAAAACTAAGTCGGGAAGAATCATCAAAGTTCCTGTTCGGTTGGACTTATGAGCATTCTTTTTATTTTTAGCTCTAGTAGTTTAAAGTTCCAACTTTCGTAAAATTTTGGTTGCAAAGTTCAATAAGCCTAACTTTGCAAGGTGGGAGTATGTTAGAGATTGTAATATGTTTTTATAGTTGGTGTCACGTGACTCTGACTGCTGCTGCTTTCATTTAATTTTTATTCTTTAACTTTGGTTTTTATGTTGGCAACCTTCTTGAAATGTTTTGTGTTGATTATTTAGTGTTCGAATTAGTTAGGTTTTGAAAATATCACTAAATTGAGATTGCTTTAGAATTAATAAATGTTTATTAAGTTTTAATTTGTATCTGTTTATTCATCTGTAGAACTAGTAGTTCATTTGAATAACATTAAAAAGGCGTCCGTGAAATTTATTTGTTTGCTGCAATTTACAAGAATAATAATTTATTTTTAAGATAATGTGTTTGAATATTATTTACAAGAAAGAATTCAGAAATATTACTTACAATACAACTGTAAATTTGATAAACAAAATTTTATTCGGCCAAATCTTGTTCAGAAATAAGTCCTTTGAGGATTCAATGTTCTATTTTTATGAAATCTTTTTTTTAAAACCATTTTAAATTTCATATTTTAACTTCTTTTAAAAAGGTTTATTTTGTATATAAATTTAAATAATGGCTTCGTTGTATTTTTATTAAATTAAATACAAAGTATTTACAGATTTTATTTTTATTATTGTTTAAGTTATTGTATTTTATTTTTTATTAGAATATTGCATGTTTATGTAGAAATTCAGTTTTATTACTACAAATGTCTCTTCTTCAAAATTATATTGAATTTCAAGTTCTGAAGAGTTGACTTATTTGGAAAGAAAAGTGACATTTCTATTGCTTTTTTTTCAGGTTCCTAATTATTATAAAATAATTAAACATCCAATGGAGCTTTCTACTATTCGAACTAAAATATCACCATCCAATTTTGAACATTATGAAAAAGTTGAACAATTTCTAGATGATTTGATTCTTATGTTAACAAACTGTTACACTTTCAATGGGGTAAGCAAAATAATGATTATTCATTCATTTCAACTTAATTTATCCTTCCTTGCTAGTTTTATTTATTTATTATTTTAGCAAATCTATTTGTACTTAACCATTGTACAAATGAGAAATTTTTTACAGTGGGAAATTTTTAGTCTTTGTTGTATTATTACAAGTCCACTTGTACTTACATATTGATTGTTATTTAGCTTGCATAATAGTTCATTTAATTTCTCTGAAATAGTATAATAATTTTTATATCTTCAGTGGGTTAATAAAATGAATATCAATCAAGATTCATTTCTAAAATAAAAATTTAAGATACAAGCATTACAGTAATTTTCAGAATATTATAAAGTAGCAGACAATTTTTTTAAATGCAGTATGTTATATTTAGTCGTTCTGCGACTGTTGGCCACTGTAACTTTTGACCTATAACACTTTGAAAAGTTTCACTGAGACATTGACTGATTTTATGAATGAAGAGATTTTTAAAATAAGTCAATGTCATTTTTCATATTAATTGTGGATTTATCAGTCTTAAAATAGAAATAATGTACACATGCTAATTTATTTATTTGCTATTTAATCAATAAAAATAGAAGACCATGATAAAACAATGTATCATGAGGTTCAGCTTTATGATTAAGAAAAGATATGATCAAAAATGTTTCTTGCAAAACTATTATTTCAATTTGGAATTGTCGATACAATTTATTTTCTATATTTACTTGTGGACTGTAACTATCCATTGTGTATCAAAAGCTCTGTAAAAAACCAAATTTGAAAATGAAAAAAATGAAAATCGGAACTGTTTACATTAAACCAAGTTTTGAGTTAAAGACATATAAAGTTTCAAATTTAATTTCTTAAGAATTCTCAGGTAAGAAATGCAGCAACATATTCTTTACACAAAAGTATATAAAATTATATACAGTAAAATTTATGCAAGTTGACCATTTGTGTTATTTTTATAAAGTTATGGTGCAATTTTTAGCCAATTGTATGATTAATTAAATTACATCTATAGCAAACTTATTATAATTTTATTATTCATGTTAATTAACTCAAAAATTTGTGATACTTGTAATATTTTTGTTAATAAATTTTTTTTCTCCAGATATTTTATTTTCAATATAACTTCGAATTTTCTCTCATTTTGTCCAAAAATAATTGCTAGTTATTAGTTTTTCAATTGCAACACAATATAAATAAAACTGATTATTTACATAATATATTTTTTATGCTAAGTATTTAAAATCAATTTCTAAAAACAATTAAAATGAGAACAATTTTACTATTTATATGCACTAGTTTTCTATACCAGATTAATTTCATCACCTAAGTCATTTGACATAAAACTATACTTTGATATATTTATATGTACATAAACATATAGCAATTTTGTTTTGTTTATTTTATTTTACAGTCTCTATCAACTTTATATGCTACTGCCAAACAGATTGAAGTTTTTCTTTTGAACATGCTCAAAAAATATTTACCTAATTTTGTGGATTACATGTCAGAAAAACTAAAGCCTTTTCAAGTATCAGAAGATTGAGTTTGTATACACTGTCATTCATATCAGTGTATGACAGTGGTGATATGAGTGACAGTGTCATATTATCTCCACTGTCACCACAAATCATATATTTGTATATCCATTAACATTGTCTATATCCATTTCGTTTACTCCCTTTTTTATAACTATTACACTGTTAAACAAGGTGTATGTTCTTCTTTCAGTAAGTCATGTTTTTCAAATTTTGGTTTGGGAGGTTCTGTAGAAGAATAAGACATTAAAATTACTCCACAATTAAAAAATTCAGAATCTCAAAACTCAATTTGCAATAATTGTTCAATACTTTTCCAAGATAAATTTTGAAATTCTAGTATTAAAAGAATGTTAAATTAATGCTTATAATGCTTAAAAGGAATATCGAATTCTAAAACATTACACTGTTTATAAAGTTTTAAGTTTAAAGATATTTTGTGAAAACTATATTATTTGTAAAGACCTTTAGAACATTTTTTTTCTGTACCAGTAAATGCCTAACTATTTCTTACATTCATAGTTAGTAGCTTCCCTGAAAAAAAGCCACCAAAGTATATTGGTATCCACCTACTTTTAAATAAGGCTTCTGTTTCAGAATTATCTTGGTGAAAGTGTTTCCCATTTTTATTGCTTATAGCTTACATAATTTTTGGGAAAAATATAAATGCACTGTCATAAAATTAATTTTTAATGACGAGAAACTTTTTTTAGTGACCTTTTTTCTTCAGAAACTTGTTATCTATTAGGGTTGCCCGAATAAAAAGTGGTAAAGTGCAGCAGTGTAAAGAAATAGTAGTGATAGCAAAATTACATTTCGGGTTTTAATTTAAGGTTGAAACGCAACACAGGCTGTGTGTAGCTGATTAATTAGTTCACAAGAGAGCATTTAAAGTGAATGTAAAGTTGTTTTCAGAATGGAACTTCTGTTAGTAGGGTGATTTTTAATGACAAAAGGTGATTGCACTATTAACTTACTTATATCGAACAAAGTGCTGCATAAGATGACAAAAATTGTAAATTTTCTTTTACCTCTTATTTCATCAACAGCAGCAATTAATTCATGGCATTTGCGTTTCCTCTGTCTTTTCAGATCTGATATTGATGCAGGGCTTGACAAAAACATTTACACCATTAGATCAAATTTTTGCCTTTTATAATTAATCAACTGACATTCAACATGTTATGCTAACCTTCTGCCATTAGAAATTATACTGCTGTGCCTTGTACTGTTCTGGATATGCCTATTTTAGTAAAAAATTTTGCTGGCATAAAATGCATCTGAAAAAAAAACTCAAGTAGTTCTAATAATATTTATTAAAATAACTCTTGTTGTCATTTATAACTCTTGTTATCATTTACTTGTTGTCAAAGATATCTTTAAATAAAATTACATTTTTAGAAATTAATAAAAATTAGTGTAAGTTTAAATTATCCCCAAGAGAAAAAAAACTTATTAGAACTGCTTGATTCTTTTAAACTAAGTTATTTGCATTTATCGTCTGCAAACATGTATGGTGAAATTGCCCAATTTTACATTCTTATTAGATGTTCTGACGTGAGCTGGTTAATCGGTTAGACACTAGCTGTCTTACTAAGGCTACTGTATTTTTGATGCTATCAAGAGTGTCAACTTTTTATTTGATCAATTCTTACAAAAGAATGCCCATTATATATTTAATGAGAGACAGATACTTAATTTTTGTCTTTCAGTGTTATTAGATAATAGTTTTATGTATGTTTTTCGTACATTTTTCTTTTTTGATTGTGTGATTTGCCGATAGCTGAAAACTGATTTCATTTTAATGAAATTGAATGATGGTTACTAGTAAATTTAATCGAACAACATTTTTTTCTCACTTTTTATTGTGAGAGTTTTATTGCTGCATTTTAAAAATTTTCCCAAAAAATACAAATATTATAGTTTTGCTAAAACTATAAGTTTTATTAAGTTGTGTTTACAATAAATCATATTGTTCATAATCTGTAAATAAGTTCCTGCAGTTAAAATATGTTCTGTATTAAAAACAATTTAATTATTTTTTGCAGTGATGGGGTTTGCGGTGCTTGTAAATCCACTGTATTAAGAAATAACTGTTGTCATCAGTTTTTAGTTGTTTTTTATTAATACTTATAAAACTCAACATCATCAGTTTATTTTCCCTGTGCAAAAAATTTCTCATAAAAGTAGTACAAAGATTATATTTTTCTTAAAACTGTGACCTTCATTTAGTTGAGTTAAGAATTAACCATTGTATTGCTTATAACAATTAACGTGTGTCTGATGTAAAAATTTGTTCTGTATTTCTTTTTTTTTAGGAAAGAAAGTTGTAAAATAATATTTTATTTTCAGTGTTTGGGTTTGTAATGTTTGAATTTAACGCAAGTTTACTTTTGTTTAAAAATAAATGATATATTTGTTTTTTTTTTAAAATTCTTTTTGGCAAAACCCAGTATCTTTACTTTTTTTATTTTCTATATGCAAAAAATTTCTCTTAAAAGTAGTTCAAAAATTATATATATTATACTATCCTTAATTACTCACAGTATATGAATAAGTGTCAAAAAATGTATATTAAAAAAATTAATAAGTAAAATTTTATTCTATATTTATAAGTACTTAAGCTTAATATTTTTTGGCATATTTATATTTGTGGTGTATAAATATTTCTTTGGAGTATTTATATTTTAAAAACAGTTGACTTTCCTTGAAAATGACTTATTTCAATTCTTTGATTTGTTATTAAATTCTTTTTTTTGCAGAAGAGAAAAAAATTAGAGACAAATTAGTTATAAATGCTATTTTTTCAGTTTTACTTTAGTACAAAATACATAGTATATATTTTTTAAGTTTAACAAAGAAAAAAAAAGGGTATACATATTTTTTGCTATATGTCATGTCATGTCATTTGTTATGCTTACAGTCAACATTATGTTTAACCTTATAGTGACATTTTTATCTTAAGAGTACAGCGTGAATAAAGTTCCGCAAAGTTATAAATTTAATCACTAAATTGTTCTTCATTAGTTTCATGAAAAGTAGTATACTTTTTTTTATATTTAAGAACCTTATGAAAAGTATTTATTCATATTTAAGTTTTGAAATTCTATGTTATTTCAAATTGTTTTTGAAACAACTAAAAGCTATAGTTTTTTTTTAATTTAAAAATATTATAAGGATTATTATCTAAATTTTAATTCTAGTTAATAGTTTAAATTCAGTTCATGTGGTCTTGGTATTTTTTATTATTATTTAACATTCAACTTTAACTTGGAAATTATTCACCAACTTTGTTGGTAATGAAAGTGTTAAAATTTTATATTAATTTTAAAGTTTCTGTTATATCTGTATAATTCAGAAAAAATAATCTCACTGTTTAAAAAAATATGTATTGAATTATATGTAAATTGTCAGTTAAAATAATTCTGAGAACAAAAATTTAAAAGATTTAAGATTGAACTTTTAGTGGAAAATATAAAAGTTGGTAAATAATATAAATAAAAAACTGTTATGATATGAAACTTGTAATAAATTTGCTATTTATTGTTACTTTACTACAAATTCTGCTATTAAATCAAAATCATTCTGTATTAATTGGATAAAAATATTATCAAGAAAGAAAAATTTATTTTGCATTTTTAATTTGTTATTAATTTAATAATCTTTTTCCTTAAAGATATAACTAATTAAATTTAAGAATGCAATAAAAAACAAAAACAAAATATTAATGAAAAGAAATAAGTTATCTCTCTACAAATACATTTCTTATTGGCAAAAAATTTTTTAATGGATTTTAAACTTCTAAATATGAAATGCGCGTATGTGTATGTTATGGATGAAGCAAAAATGAAAGTCTCTAAAGAAAAAAAATCTCCACTAATGAAAAGTTATTAACCAGCTGAAACTAGGTCTAGTTTGTTAATGCCTGAAGCCCCAACATACTCAAGCAATGGCATTTTTCCTCAGAAAGAAAACGAATTTCTATTAAGTATATTTGGCAATGGCTTTTAACCTTTTAAAAAAAAACATCAGTGTAGGAAGCATTAGTCCATGACAAGGTGATAACTTTAAAAAAAATAATCTGTGTAGCAAATTCTCGTGTTATGTGACACAGTATGCTAGATAAGTGTTATTTATGTATCACCTAATAATTTTATGTTTTATTTACTAATATAACTTCAGGCTTAGACCTGGTTTTAACAGGGTGCTTAGCGTTTTTGAAAAGTGCTTAAAGGTGCTTATTTTCGATTTTTGTTCTTAAAGGTGCTTATTTCATTGGGTGTTTTTAAAAAGTGCTTAATTTTCCCTTTTCTAAATTGAGATTTTTCCTTTACCATGTTGATTTTTCGCTATGAATTATGCAGAAAAACACTGTTCACATAGTTCTATTCAACGTTTTCACAATTAATTCAACCCCAATCTATTTTGGCACATTGTCAGATTGTGGCTTATGAAAACGCCATTCGATTTACATGATTCAAAAATTCTGACAATTGTCAAAAACAATGCCAAAAGAATTTTTTTTTTGACATGACTGTTAAAACCAGATAAAACTGTCAACTGTCAAAAACTTTCCAACCCTGTCTAACCAGTTATAGTCTAGGATTGGTTATTTCCTCTTTAATTTGTTAAACTAAGATTTATCATTCATTCTTGATTTATCTGTAACATATATNTATATATATATATATTCATAAAGTAGAATGCCAATCATCTTATTGCTGTTTTACCGGATTCTTAAATTATAGGGATTGTTCAAGGACCACATATTTTATTCCACTTTCTTATTCAAAAAAATAAACACAAAAGTGAGTTTTTATTTTCAGAATATCTGATAGAGATTGAAAAATGGCTTTTTTTTTTGTCCATCCTTCTTCAAAAAGACCTCTCATTCTTTTTGTCCAGTTTTAATGTGCGTGGCAAGTAGTTCCTACTTAGGGAGTAGGTTTCCAACAAAATTTTTTTAAATAAAAACTTAACATGTCTTTTGTAATATACTGTAATGCATCTAATAATGCTACTACTACAATTAATTACTAAGCATGGAAAAGATTGAAGGGTAGTTACTTAAAAACATTCTCATAAACTTTTCTTAAAGTTATCCGATTGTTTAGATTGGATTTGGTCCCAATCGGTGTGGCTAATCGGCATTCTACAGTATTTCTTAACAAAATACGAGGAAAAATGTTAAGCGTTAGAGTTCATGAAATTAAATTGTCTTTCAATTAAACAGCAATTTTACTACAATTTCTTAAATTACATTTTTTTAAAAATAATTTATAATTAAACGTTTATATTTAACTTTGACACTCATCAGGGAGAATTTTTAGTTGGAAAAAGTGATAAAACTATCACTTTTTCTAACTTTCAGTTAGACTATTTAAGATTTGTACTTTGTTTCGTATTTTTTGAGAGATTGTATTTGTACTTTTCATTATGTTAGTGTTACATATTCTTTTCTACTTTTTTAGTTTCTTGATGATTTAAATGTAAGGAAAACAAGATTTAAATAATACTATAGGGTCGCAGTTTTAAATGCCCTGTAGTAAAAATTGATTTATTTTTATTGAGTTGCTGAAATTTTTTTACATCAGTGCATTGTAATTAGTGTTAAGATGTTGATAACTTAATTCTTAAAAAATGCAAAAAAGCTTCTAAAAACTGTTAAAAATGGCCTTAAAATTAAAAAAAAAAATTTAAATATGTATTTTACATTAAATTTTTCGTAAAAAAATTATAAATCATAACTTGTATTTATAAATTTAGTAAAATAGAAAGTAATTATTAAAATAAATGCGTAATTTAAGAATGAAATAAAATGTAAATACATATCTGATACAGATAAATACTAGTTTATAAATTTTTGGTAAATGTCTTCAAGAACATTATCGTAATATCGAATACTTTTTGATATCCTTTAAATTGAAAATTTGTTAAAAGAAAATTCTAAAAAACTTTAAAAACTTTGTTCAACGTCAACCTATTGGAGGATATTTAGAATACTAAGAATCGAAAAAATTATGCTAATTTATTGATAAAAGATTTAATTCACAAGTAAATTGTTTTTAAAATGGAAAATATTCGAAAGGACTTCAAAAACCATTAATATTGCTGTCAAAAAACAATATAAAATGCAAAGAAATCCATTTATAATCAACATCCTAGCCCTAGTTATAACACATTGTAATGTCATATAATGTAATGTATAGCAATATCATCATCATAGAGTCATCATTTACTATGTTTTTAGTAAATATTACACTGAAGATATTTTTTTACTAGTTATAGTTTTTTTATGAAGTTTTTTTTATGAAAATGCTACTTGAAAGTTGAACAAACCTAAAAGTAACTTAAACCCAATTGACTCTATGTGTGTAAAAGTATATACTATTGTTTTTAAAACCTGTTCCATTGGACAGGTATATCGTTTTCCTAAATATTTTTGTATTTGTTGTACATTTGCTAACTCATATACTAAAAAACGAGCTTTTTATTATTTTTCAAAAGTGCTGCAATTCTCTGATGTAGAAACAAATTTTTGTATGATGTTGTGCCTTTTGGACAAATTATGTCTGTTGATTTTATATTAATAAATATATTCTTTAAATGTTAAAATGTTGAACTTTTTCTAGACTTATATCTACAGACATCATTTGAATTTCTTAAAATTTAATGCATATTAGACAATTTTTTGTGCAAGATCTAAGTTAATTTCTATGTAAAACAAATTTTAATATTTTTTTTTAAAATTACGGTAGGCACTGAACTTTCGTTCTTCGCCTTAGAAGATGCCAGAAATGTTGCTCATTTATCGTTACCCAGTGGGCACCTGTGAACCAAAGTCACGGAGGCGAGCAACATTACCCACGCCACACTGTCACAAATACCCATTTATACATTCACACATCAGAAGACAACAGAGAGAGAGAGAAATATCCATGCCCAGAGCGGGATTCGAACCCGCAGCCATTGGCTTCGCAGTCAGGCACACTAACCACTCGGCCACCTGGCCGGCACACAAATTTTAATATGGGAAAATTTACTTAGTGCTTAATTATTCTCTCTTTAAATGGTGTTATTATGATAGCAACAAAACCATTTGAAGCACATTTTTGAAAGCTTCATCTACAACTATTAAACATCACAATATTTTTCAACTACTTGTGAAAGTATACTATATTAACAGTACTCTTAAGTGGTTATCAAATTAAAATATCTCTCTCTGATTCCTCCAGCAGTCAAACAGGTCTTGATATTTTCAGCTCTGCCACCTAATAAATCTATAGTGAATCTAGATTTTAGTAACAATTTTGTTTTTTTCTTATTTAAATATTAATTTGAGAACTCCATAAGGAGTACATATTTAAATGTCATTTTCGATAAGGATTCTAAAAATATCTGTATTAAGGGGTGATAACTGAACACCAAACTATTTTTCAGCTTACAATTGCTTTTAAGAAGCACATTATTGTGAAATGCTTTATAAATTAGCTACAATGAACTAAGTGTATATTATTATTAAATGTGTATTAAACAATATTTAATGCAATTTTATCATTAAAAAAAATTTTTTTTTGATTGTATGCCTTAACAAAGTTATTGTCTAAGTAAAAGTATAATTGATCGGAATTTTTAATAGCAATGAGACGGATAAGATTTATAACCTTTTTGAAAGGTTATTTGACCAATTATTTGGAGATTAGCAGTGGCATATTCAGAATTTTTTTTTTCTTGGGAGGGGGGTGCATATTGTTATTGTAATGAAAGAAGCGATTCTTTAGAATTATCATTTGACTGTAAAAACTGAAGAATACACAATGTCTATTTTCAATCAGCACTAAGATTCTCGTCCAACAGTAGCATTGTTCGATTTCGTTTCGATAATCTCTGTTCTCGGAGTAAGACCCAGTCTCCCCCTGATATGTGTCTGCTGGGCCCAAGAAAGCTGCAGTGCAACGGTGAAAGAAGAAACTACATCCCAAGGTGCACAAAAGTTTTACGGATTCCACGACAAAACTTAATGCTAGCGCTTTCCCTTC